TGGGGAGATGTCTCAGCAGCTTAACCTTGTTGGTGACCTCGACCTGTCCTTGAACTGCATAGGGGACAGCTCTTATGGGGTAATAACCCTTTAGAGCAGCAGTTCTCAACCTGTGGGTTGCAACCCACAGGAACTGTATTAAAGGGCCGTGGCATTAGGAAGGTTGAGAACCACTGCTTTAGAGACATAATGATCTTTTTTTGTTTATTAACAAAAATGAATAAAAATACTTTAGTTATTTTATGTAACCTAAAATAATCATCAGATAAGTTCATATTTATGTTTTTCTCTTTTAAAACTGTAGGATAATTATAAGTAATCCACCAACCTCTTTTCCTGCCCCAAATAAATAAGAGCTGGGGTGTGTATGAGGGTGGCAGAAAAATTGGATTGGAAAAGGTTTAAGCCTACCCACACTACCCGAATTAATCCCCAATGTTAACTGTTATGGTAAATAAAATGTTGACTATTACAAGATGTTTTTAACTTCTAATATTAGGGAGGGTAGTGAAAGGTAATGTATGTCCAGTTCAGGTGTGGGGATTGGGGGGAATCTCATGGCAGCATCGACAATCGTATGCTGGTATGCAGGAGGATTTGTCATTAAGACCCCTCTAGTCCCTAGGGGAAGCCTTCCTTTTTGTGGACTATTCAGAGGTCAGTAGTTATAACCACTGTGGTCTGTCTTCATGTTCTTTCTCTAACTCATTTTGTTTTTTAGGGGTCTTAAGTATTGATAAAATCTAAATAGTCTATGAAACATTTAAGGCTTATAGCTAATACTTGGACCTGTTGTTTAGATTAATGATGTTAGACTTAAATTCATGATTTTCAAACTAAAATCATGCATTTCCAAAAACAACATGTAGGTCCTCTGCCCCCCCCCCCCAAATCAAATACTCTGTGTCCCAGACACACAAATGGGTGCTTGGCCTCTCCTAATTTCTCCCATGGGCCTAGGCAACTAATTTTTCTGAAAATTGGGTTGTTTTATCTGGAAAGTAGGAGCTATTATCTAAAGCAGTATAACTTTTCATCATTATTATTAACTATTCTCCAGAACAGAAAACCCTGTCTGGAAGTCCTACCAGCATAGACAAAGTGCCTAAGTTTGGTCTTGATTACATAGATCTTTTTCTTAATCATTCAGGCATAGGCCAGGTGAGAATTTACTTTTGCT